CGTGCACCATCTTTTCGCCGACCACGCCGAGCGTAGCCACATCAACGACCTCTATCAGATCGACTTCCTTGAGGCAGACCAGCCTACGCTGATGATAAACATGGTGCAAATCCGAACAGATCTTCCGGATGACACGCTCCATACAATCCAGGAGGAAAGCCCCGAGCCATACTCTGAGGGCTCTACCAGCACCTGCCCACCTTTTCCTCTAGGTTTTGGGAGAGAGCTCTTCATGGTTAGCCACGACAACTCTCACTTCTCAAGAAATCCAGCCTCTCTACGTGATTTGGTCATGGCTCCTGCATTTTTCAATGGTATTGATATGTTGTCTTCTCCAATATTCTATCTATATTCATTTGATCTATATTTATATTCATGTTTCATTGCATTCTATATTTATATATATTCTTATTCCTTGCATTCGATCTATATTTAATTATGTTGCCATATTTTACTTGGAAGAATTTTTTGTGCATATAATTTATGTTCATATTTTTTTGGCATTTTATCGATCAGGTGGTATGAACAACAGACCTCCCCCACCACAAGAACCAGGTTTCCACCCTGGCGATGAGCCATTCGCTCCTAATGTGGCCATTCCACGGTTCCTTGTTTCAGCTATTGTATGAAATGTTTGTCAACATCTTTTGTTTTTTGATGCTAACAAATAAGTGTAATTAGTTTAATATCATTGTTGCATACATATATGTCGCAGACTATATCCCTAATAGATTGGCTGCGAACAGCACTTAGCTGGTTCTTTATCTTGGACAACATCAAGAACACGGCATCTAATGCAAGTGGTCAGCTATGGACGTGTGAACTCAGTTTTTCCATCCCTTTGAGGGGTGCAAATTATCGGAACCATATACACGAGACGGGAAGATAGAGCCCGAACGTGATAAGCGCCCAATTCAGTGCCATGCGCATCTGTTTAGAGGCACTTTGATGTGTTTGCTATGATGTGTCTAATTTCTCACACTTCAAGGCACTTGCTTTGAATGCTGGTGATATCCCCGTCCCGTAAGTAAGCGAATGGTTTGCGAGCTACAACCGTGCGGGTGTGGTAAAATGGTTACTTATACCTGAGTCATGGTTATTTGTTGTTTATTATTGTAATAACATTCTCTAATTTTTTTTTCTCCACATGCGGATTGCGCCCCGGGACCTTACCTATGCTTCATGTGGCTTGTGGGCCGTTCTAGACCAAGCTACGGAGCAACTCGGGTATGATTGGGACTTCTACAATGGTAACCTCGGCCAGCTCACAGTAGAAGGACGCCAGTACTGCATAAAGATTACTAACAGGGGCAGTGGTTGTTCAATAGGTTACATCTATGGCCAACCATTCTTTTGGTATTGTGAGGCATGAGAGAGTGCACTCATACGGGCATTGGACTTCATCGATACAAGCGGATACATAATCTGTGACATCAATTAACATATATGGCTACAGAGGCATGTTAGTGTGCGTGGCCCAATCGAACCCGACAGTGATTCCGATAGTAATTAATGTTTATTAGGTTGTTTTCAAGGTCGTAGTTTAATTGGGTTCTAATTTTAATTTGTACGGCTTTGTGTGTTTAATTATTGTCATGCATGTAATTCGTGTAACATTTGTTGGGCAACTAGAAATATACATTCTGGTGTCGTATTCTTCTCAAACTTTTTCTTAGGCTTCCACATGCCACGTGTGAAGGAAACACCTAGTTTGGGATTTTCCAAAGATGGCTTGTTACTTTCTGAGGTTTAATTGAATTTTCGTGCGACGACACCGTTTAATTATAGATTGAACTGAGTCTACCCACGAAAAGATCCGGAATGATGCTAAACTTTTAAACAGGCTCTAATATGCCCTAGGGATAAGAATTTTGTGGAGGTGGATGACAAAATCTGTTGGGTCCAAGATGAAATTCACCCTCTTTTATCTCATTCGGCACAGAGAAAAATATAATAAATAAAAAAACTAATCAGAAAAACCTCAAATCCTGTGTGGGGTCTTAATTTGGGTGTACATGCTTGCCAAAAAAATTTCAAGTCATTTCAACATAGGCGGAGTATACATGCTTCACAGAGGTACATGTGCCCTCTCATCGAACCATGACTATACACATAGGTTATCAAGGTTTCTGTTGTTCATAGGCATTCTGGTGTCGTAGTGGTCTCAAACTTTTTCTTAGGCTTGCACGTGCCACGTGTGAAGAAAATACCAAATTTGAGATTTTTCGAAGATGGTTTGCTACTTTCTGATGTTTAATTGAATTACCGCGCGACGAGACCGTTTAATTATAGGTTGAACTGAGTCTACCCACGAAAAGATCAGAATGGTGCCAAACTTTTACATAGGCTCTAATGAGCCCTAGGGATAAGAATTTTGTGGAGGTGGGTGACAAAATCTATTGGGTCCAAGATGAAATTCACCCACTTTTGTCTCATTCGGCATAGAGAAAAATATAATAAATAAAAAGACTTATCAAAAGAACCTCAGATCCTATGTGGGGTCTTAATTCGGGTGTACATGCTTGCCAAAAAAATTTCAAGCTATTTCGACATAGGCGGAGTATACATGCTTCACAGAGGTACATGTGCCCTTTCATCGAGCCATGACTATACACATAGGTTATCAAGGTTTATTTGGTTCATACGCATTCCAGTGTCGTATTGATCTCAAACTTTTTCTTAGGCTTCCACGTGCCACGTGTGAAGGAAACACCTAGTTTGGGATTTTTCCGGAGATGGTTTGCTACTTTCTGAGGTTTAATTGAATTTTCGCGCGATGAGATAAATGATTTCAATTGAAATCATCGTCAACTACAAAGTTGATAGCTCTTTGAGATCTACAACTTTAGTTTTTGTCGTTTTATCATTCAAAATCGTTAAAAATTTTGAAATTTCAAAATGCGAGGACCTCAAACTAAATTTTGGATCATAGATTATTTTAACTTCAAAACTTATGGGCTGCAATGTTTTAGATCTTGTCAGGATCTATAACTTTGATTTTAGTCATTTCTCCATCAACCAAGGTCGTTTGAAAAAAAATAAAATCAAAATGCAAGAACTTCAAATAGCATTTGCGGGATGTAAATGATTTTAAATGAAAACGTCGTCAACTACAAAGTTGTAGATCCCTTCAATATATACATATTTGATATAAAATTTATCTTCATCCGACTTTGACTGAAAAGGTTATGAATTTTGTTGTGTTGCACTATTTTAAGAGGCGAAGAAAATTTGCCAACCACCACTAAAATTTGAGTTCAAAAGGCGGCTTGGAAATCCAAACACCTCTAGAAATAAATAGCAAGCCGAACTACCTCTTAAAATGCAATTTATAGAGGCAGTTCGGCTTATATTACTGGCCACCTCTAAAAATAGAGGGTATCTTTAGATGTGGATTTTATTTGAGCTGCCTCTATTAAAAAAGAAGACGTTGCTAAAAAATATACCTATAGTAGTCGCATGTAACAAGATCCTGATCGGAACTCAACTAGTTTTGTTGGTAGATTTATTTAGGAGAAATCCTAAGCAAATAATAATAAAAAACTGATGTAAAAGATAGATGATGGGTCCCTTCTCTGTATTGCCACTGGTAGATTCGCAGGAGAGTAGCTGGCAGCGATGGCAGCCGCGGCGGCGAGCGAGGAGCACAAAGGGGGCAGCAGCCGTGTCTGACAAGCTTTAGTCTATTAACTTGAAAGATAATTCAACATCCGGCCCACTTACGTTAGTCAATTATTTGAAGACACGGATACGGATCAGCACTCCACTACTACTCCAACAATCTACGTAGTCAATTATTCATTGATCGGTCTACGCACGACGCACTCAGTAGAGCTTTTTGTGGAATTTTGAAAAATAACAATAATGCTCCCGTTGTACACGTCTAGATATCTGCAGCATGTTCAATCCCTAAGAATTAGTTGAGTTCATAAGCTTATCTAGATCGCTGAGTAGCTACTAAGGATGCCATGCTTCCAGGTTCATAAGCTCCTTCCACTACGGCCAGTTCCATGTTTCCGGACCACCCTCCTACTCATGATCATATGCTTGCTGCTATCCTGCTGCTCCCACGCGAAACCTTGCTCCAAATGCTAAGATGGCGACGGCGACTCCGCCCACAGTGTTCAAGTTGTTCGGCTGATGATTTCTAGGGCTGATAAGCAAGCTGATGAAGCTGATTTGTTATGAGATAAAAACACTGTACCATAGCTAATAAGTCAGGCTGATAAGTTAAAGTGAACAGGGTGCGTCGTCATCCCTCTGCACACCATGCAGGAACCATCCTTATCTATCTCCCCAAGGATACCACCGAAAGGATCCTTGGAGCCCTCTGGTCCAACATGGACGACTATAACCTACAGCGTGATTGTGCTGGCCATGTGCAAATATGTTTTGTTTGCTATATAGTTGTAACATTATTTTTTTGATCCTTCATTATCCCGAGGTTTCGCCAGATATTACTAGCGACCTCTAAAAATAGAGGGTATCTTTAGATGTGGATTTTAATTGAGCTGCCTCTATTAAAAAAGAAGACGTTGCTAAAAAATATTCCTATAGGAAGACACTTCTACATGCAACTTGAAAGACAATTCAACCTCCGGCCCACTTACGTTAGTCAATTATTTGAAGACACAAATACGGACCAGCACTCCACTTCTCCAACAATCTACGTAGGGTTATTCGTCGGTCTATGCACGACGCACTCAGTAGAACTTTTTGTGGAATTATGAAGGGTCGGACGCGGTAGTAGTAGAACCGTAGAACAACACACAAATACATGGGTGTCATACAAATATTAATACTCCCGTTGCACACGTCTAGATATCTGCAGGACTGCAGCATGTTCAATCCCTACCAATTTCCCGGAAGGACTGCCTTGCATGCATTGAGGAAAAACGCGTACTGCGTACCGCACTGGCCCAGCATATAAAGGGGCGACGTCCCATTGCCATGGGAGGCAACTAAAACGCATCACCAAGAATTGGCAAGCTTATCCAGAGATGGCGTCCTTCCAGGTTCATAAGCTTCTTCCACTACCGCCGGCCCCATATTGTATCCGGATCACCCTCCTACTCATGACCATATGCTTGCTGCTCTCCTGCTCCTCCGAAGCGAAACTTTGCACCAAATGCTGCGACGCTGATGACGACTCCGCCGAGGATCCAGTGTTCAAGTTCTCCCACGACTCCGACAAACGATACTTGATCGTCCTCCCCCTGCGTACGATGCAGGAGCCATCCTTATTTATCTCCCCAAGGATACCACCAAAAGGATCCTTGGAGCCCTCTGCTCCCACATGGACGACTATAACCTACAGCGTGATTGTGCTGGCCATGTGCAAATATATTTTGTTTGCTATATAGTTGCAACAATATTTTGATCCTTTATTATCCCGAGGTTTTGCCTGACATTACCGTACGTAGATACTATATTTATGATGATAGCCTGGTTATGCCTTTGTAACGGTACTAGAAGGTGATGTATTTTTTATAGTGCACTTCACTAGGTAAAAAAGCCACATATTCACCACCTCACCATAGACGCCAGCACTAAAGCGCATCTGCAGTAAGTCAACTACAGATGCGCCTTTCTGACGCGTGTATGTAGTAAGTTGCTGGTAGGGGTCGCCGGTCCGGCAAGGTCAACACGCGTCTGTAATAAGCGCTTACTGCAGACGCGTGTTGGTAAAACGCGTATGTGCTAAATCTACAGACGTGCGTTTATAAAATGCGTCTGTATCTACATCAATTATTACAGACACGTGTTGTGATTTCCGAGTCTCGAATAACGGGATCAAACTCTACGGACGCGTGTATGGGACACGCATATGTAGTAAGATCTCTTATTGCTGATGCGTAAGTTGTTGCAGACGCGTGTTTCCAACACTCGTCTCGAGTATTCCTACTTGTAGCAGACGCATCCTGCTCTATACGTGTCTGTACTTTGTGGCAGACGTGTGTGCCGTATTCGTGTCTGTAGTACTTGGCCTGCGTACTTAGCTGTTAGCACGTGCTAACGGGCAGAGGAAGGTACTTGGCACGTACGGAACACAGCGGGCAGGGCCGTTGTCGCGTGCCGGGCGTGGGCTCTTGCGCGGCTCTAATGCGGGCGGCGCTAGCCGTTCTCGCGCGCGGCGCAGGCCTGCGGCTTTGAGGCACGCGAGCAGAGTTGGCGGGCGGTAGGCGGCGACCGTAGTTGTTCGGCGCTCCTACAGGCGGGCGGCGGTAGGAGTTGCGCGCCGTGCGCGCAGGTGGCCGGCGACCAGAGGAGCGCGCTGCTGTGGCAAGCGGCAGGCCGAGGGGAGCGCTGCTGCAGCCTGCGGCGGTGGCCTGGCCGTGCTCTCCACCTTCTCGAACTGTAGGTAAGCTCGAGCCACCGGCGCTCCTCTCTTTCCCTCTTCTCTGCCCGAGCACCGCCGTGCCGCTCAACGACCAAATTCATCGCCGTTGTTCCATCTTCGCCCAATTGTCCGCGCTCCCAACTCCACCTAGTTCTTGCGCTCCTCCTCGAACTATTGTTGCCACCTCTCACCGCTGCAATCGCCTTCGGTGCTGGTTCCCGCCATGGGCACCTCGTTGTCGCCAGCTCATTTCAGAGCTCCTCTCGTCATCCGGTTTATGGTTTTAGCTCCTCTGCAGCTCCATGATGCTCATGGGCGCCATTGTTTTACCTCTACCGCGCAAGTTGCACCGAAGCGGTGACCTCGCCACCAGTTCACGCTGCCGCACGCCACATCACCGCCGGCCATCTAGCTCCGCCTCATCGCCGGTTCAACCAAGCAGCGCATCGACATCGCGGTAAGCTGCTGATGCTGCCTGAGCCCTTAGACTAACCTATACCGTGCTGTATCGGCTGCAGCACCGCCGTTCTGTTTCCGCCGCACCCCCATGGCTGTGGTCGAGCTCGAGTCTAACTCTAACTTGTTCATCTCTGTAGTGTACTCGATTAGCCGTGCTCCAACCATGCTTTGCCATCTCGATATGTAGGGGATCACCGGTGTGCTCAGCTCTCCTCCTTGGTCCCCAGCGTGCTTTGCTCTTCGGCCTCCTGTTCTCTAGCATGTGCTTCTTTGTGAACAGTGGTGAGCTCAGCAAGAACTTTTATGAGCTTGTGTGATACTGTGATGAATTTGCTTGTGTGAAACTTGCAATGTGAACTAAGTCTACTAAAAAATGTGATTTTTATTACTAAAGCATTGATGAATTTGCTTATATTCTTCCATTTTCAATCGTATTTTGTAGACTATGGAGCATCGAGGCCACTGGATGTATCTTCAGAACCGTACTTGTGATGAGTACTTGGAAGGACTGAAATATTTCCTAGTTGTTGCAGAGGCGGACATGAGGAATGCACATAAGTCATCTATGTTGTGCCCATGTGTTGACTGTAAGAATGAGAAGCAATACTCGAATTCGTTCTCAGTCCATGCCCACCTAATTCTTTGAGGCTTCATGGATGAATATAGATGTTGGAACAAACATGGAGAAGAAGGTGTCAATGACCGAGATCAAGCGCAGGCTGTTGGTCAGCATGATGGTGATGAAGGACTTCATGAAACTTGTGACGGTGGTGAGGAATCACCCTTTGACAATGAGGAACTATGTGATGATGATGTAGCAGAGATTGCTGCCAGCCATGTCCCTACGGTTGAGAATCTAGATGAGATGGTGCGTGATGCCTTTGGCTTTGATGAGTACACTGGTTCAGAGTTCAAGAAGCTGAAACAACTATTGGAAGATATGAAGAAACCGCTTTATCCGAGTTGCAATGAGAGGTATACGAAGTTGTCCGCTTCACTAAAGCTTCTCCAACTGAAGGCGGCACATCACTAGACTGACAAGGGTTTCAGAGAATTGCTAGAAGTGTTCGGAGATATGGTTCCTAAGGGGAATCAGATAACTAGGACTACATATGAGGCCAAGAAGATTGTTTGTCCGATGGGATTGAAGTTCGAGAAAATTCATGCTTGCAAAAATGACTGCATCCTGTTCTATGGTGACAATGCAACCCTCACTGAATGCCCCAAGTGTGGGACCTCTCGTTACAAGCGAAGAACTGATGAGGGTGATGATAGTGAGGAGACACACCGTAGAGTTCCTAGGAAGGTTGCTTGGTACTTTCCTATAATTCCTCGCCTGAAACGTTTGTTTGCAACCTCCAAGGATGCATGACAGCTAAGCTGACACTCGGATGGGCGAATGGTTGATGATTATATATGGCACCCAGCAGATGCTATTCAGTGGTGGGTCATTGATTTCAAGAATAAAAGTTTTGTTGATGAGCAAAGGAATCTTCGGTTTGCACTTAGCACGGTTGGCATGAACCCATTTGGTAACATGAGTAGCTCACATAGTGTCTGGCCCGTGCTGTTAACTATCAACAACCTTCCCACATGGCTATGTAATAAGAGGAGGTACATGATGATGTCAGTTCTGATATCTGGTCCGTGTCAACTTGGTGTTAACATCGACGTGTATCTGAGGCCGCTTATTGATGATTTCAAGGAACTCTAGAAAGAAGAGGGTATCAGGGTGTATGATGGGTTCAGGAAAGAACATTTCAACCTATGTGCCATGCTCTTCACCACTATCACTGATATTCTAGGACATCGTAGTGTTTCTAGGCAGAGCAAAGGAGAAAAAGACTACTTTCAGTGCTTAGATGACACGGAGACTGTTTGGCTGAATAACTTAAAGAAGAGGGTCTTTGTAACGCACGGACATTTCCTTCCTAAGTCTCATCCATATTGGGTGATGAAACGATAGTTTGATGGCACGAGGGAGACAAGATCTACACCAAGGCATTTCAGCGGGCAACAGGTCTATGACCAGGTGGTAGCGGATACCATGCCTAAAGTTGACCTAGAGAACACTATCCTTGGAAAGCGAAAGCACAGTGCAAAAGCAAAGAGTGCCATTAAGAAGAGGTGGAAGAAAATGTCAATCCTATGGGAACTGCCTTACTAGAAAGACATAACGGTCCGCCACAATATTGATCTCATGCACGTGAAAAAGAATGTCTGTCGGAGTTTGCTTGGGACAATCCTTAATGACAAATGGAAAACCAAGGACCATGCAAAAGGAAGAGCTGACCTAGAGGAATTGGACATAAGGCCCGAGCTCTGTCATGATGGTACTAGTGCCTAGCCACCTCTATCTGCCATAAACCTAACCCAAGAAGGGAAGCAAGAATTGTGTGACTTCTTTCGTAGTCTCAAACTTCCCTCTGGATACGCAACCAACATCCAAAAGCTTGTGCCTACAAGAGAAAACAAGATGCTTCCCATGAAGGCTCATGATTGCGATGTCATGCTCACAACGATGCTTGCAGTTGGTATCCGGAACATATTGCCAGAAAAAACCCGAATGGCAATCATGAGCCTCTACTTCTTCTTTAATGCAATCTCTCAGAAGGTCATTGATGAACAATCACTTGATGATCTTGAGAAGAACATGTGTGAGGTGATATGTCTCCTTGAGGCTTACTTCCCGCCGACTTTCTTTGACATATCCGTCCACCTCATTGTACATTTGGTTAAGGAGATCAAGCATCTTGGGCCGATGTTCCTCCACCACATGTATCCGTATGAGAGATTTATGAGTACTCTGAATAGGTATGCCAAGAGTTGGGTCCATCTTGAGGTAAGCATGGCGCAGTGCTATTCTACTGAGGAGGTGGTCGACTGGTGCCTCAGTTACTTGGACCCCACTAATCTAATCATCATCTCCAAGTCTCACCATGAGGGAAGGTGTTGCGGGGTCAAAACCGCGGCAAGCATAGTTGTTCGAGTTGGTGTGAAAGTACAGGTCTCTGATGGTTCAGGTGGACTCAAGAACACAAGAATTATATAGAGAAGATGCAATGGTTTATCCTGGTTTTGGCCAATTCGGTCCCTACGTCTAGCAGCTGATGATCCTTATACTCAAGAGCACCCAAAATCAGGCGGTTACAACAGAGTGTAGAGAGATATTTGGTACGGGGTTAGCTTGGTGCTAATCCTAAGGTTGCCTCACCGCCTATAGAGCCTTCCCCTTGTCGAAGAGGAGGAAGACGATGGAATGGAATGGAAAGGAGTGTCTAGTGATCGATCTGGGATCCTCTCCCCTCCTAGGTCTTACCTTATCCCTTATATAATGAGATAGGTTAGGTACATGGCATTTGGGGGAACTAGTATACGGTCTACGTGCGCTGGAGTCTAGGAGGGTCTTGCAGCGGTGTGCCATGGACCATGGCGTTGTCTTGGAGCCAAAGAAGTTTTAGGTGTCATTCGGCTGTTCTATTCTGACACTCTACGTGTTAGGCTATGTAGGCATGGATCGACCTCCCCTTGCTGGACCTTCTAGAGTCTTCTTGGTGGCGAAGG